AAATATTTTGTAGAATTTATGAATATCCACCTAATTGCAGAAGAATGAGTTTGGTCTGTCGAAGACACAAGTTGAAAAGATTCCAAGTCCCAAAAATGAACTGTTCTATCTGCACTTCCACTGGCTAGTAAGAATTCATGAGGGTGAAACTCCACTGTTGTTGCTGGGCCTCTATGTTCAGAAAACTCTTTTAGCTGTCTACCAGCTCTTAAATCCCACAACTAATTCAAAAAAGAAAACACTGAGTAATTATATTAATTGGCACTGCATCAAAATAAAATTTATATAACATTTACCTTAACCATCCCTTCCTCTCCTGCACTAGCAATCCACTGACCATCAGGACTAAATTTTAAACTATTCACCATTCTATTGTGTCCCTTGTAAGTGAAGATACAACCCTTTCTTCTGATGTCCCAAAGTTTTATAGCAGTGTCTAAACTTCCTGATGCCAATAATTCACCATAAGGATGAAAATCCATACAACGTATACCTGCTTTGTGTCCAGTTAATGTACGGGCTAATTTAGCATGTTCCAAGTCCCAGATTTTTAATGCTCCTGTTTGCGAGCCAGCGCATACTAAATCTTCTGTTTGTCCAAATCTAACACATTCTATTGGAGTGGTATGACCACTCAGGCTCTGTGAACCAACAAATAAAAATTACACAAATAGTGGATAGAAACACTATCGACATAAAATAAAGTTTGACTAATGTTTCGGTTGAAATATTCTTCTCAAATCAAACAACTACAAGTAGAAGATGAAACTCTACCATAATACAATTCTGCTTTCCAACTGCCCATAGATTCACTTTCTTGTCATCACCACCAGTGACCAAAACGCGTCCAGACTTGTGACCTAGTGCCAGGCAATTGACATTGGCCGAGTGGGCAACAAAATCCTCTGCACAAAGAGAAATGGAAATTATTCTTTCAAAGTGACCTGAACAAAATGTCAGCTACCAATGACATCATAAAGACAGTATATTTTTGATTTAAAAAGAAGGTTATGACCATAATAGGAAGACGCAGCAAACAATTAACTATTGGATTAAATCGAAAGATTTGTAAACACGAGTTGTTTACTCATCCCAAGAAAGAAAGAGCGCCAGGACAGAATCCGTTGGACGCACACCGACAGGCAATAAGTAAAGAATATACAATTACGAACGAGACGATCACTTACGGAGTTTCCATGACCTCTTCGTGGACGAAGCCATATTCCGGGACCACAGGATTGCGTTGTGCACGACTTATTTGGCAACGACAACAATTTGAGATTTCAACTTGCGGATGCAGAATTTTTTTTTGCTGGAATTTGTACGTAACATTTTTACTTGGTGTTATTATTTAGTGCAGGGACGATCGTTCAACGGGGCGGCAGCATCTCGCCGCGTTCTGGTCCTGAGGGCAATTCTTTCCTTGAAACTTCTGACCGTTTTCACAAACCGTTCGTTCCACCTCTTCGTCGTATCTCATTTCTTGAATCTGCCTGTCCGTGGGTAGCGCGAACTAACGTGACGTTGAAAAATATCGAAGTTCTGTTTCTATCGAGATTACGTTCCAATTGATCGCACCAGATGTCACCAGTTCTCCGGTCAATTGAATTCTAACCTCAATAAGTGTTAGTACAGGCAGGCGGATTAATTATCGAAACAAAACAAAAAAAAAGTGTGATAAAACATTATTGGGAGACATCACGTTTATAATTAATGACAATGTATAGCTCATTATTACGTGTTACATATTGTCACGTGATGTAACGAGAATTCGTGGTGTATTATAAACATTTAAAAGTGAGGTTATAATCGTCGAATTAATTTTACTACGACGTATATAATGAACAGATTGTTTGCATTTAATCACTCACGCGCGCTCGCAATTGAAATTAACTCACTTTACTCTCGGATACCCAAAAGATATTGCGTAAAATATGTGCAAGGACAATCTCCAGAACCTAGAGTTCGCGAATATTTTTATTATATCGACCACCAAGGCATGGTATAATTCGCTTTTATAATTAGATTTATGTTCAAGCGTGTAAAACTTTGAAAATGACTACTACATTTGCTCTATTTTATGTGCTGCAGTTGTTCCTGGATGATGCACGTATGAAAAACTTCACATCATGCTTTAAAGGTGTGCATAAACAATGGGATAATTTATTACATATTCCAATTCATATAACATGGAAGTCATACCATTTTAGATAAAAAGTTTTTGGCCTTTTTTTTCAAACGCTTGAAAAAGAATGACACAGGTAGATATGTGGAAGATTTTCCTTATGTCTCTCTTTGTGGTCCAGAGAGAAATTTTGTTAGATGTGATGATTTGCCAATAGTTTTCACGAAAATTTTTAAAAAGGAAGATAGTAAAACGAGTAAAACTGAAAACTGGTTTGGTTATGCTTATGCAGAAGAATTATTAATGGTACATTTAATCTTACAAGTAATTAATACATATTACAACATTTAGTCTAGCATTTAATAATAAATTCATTGCAGGTACCATTTCAACCAGACAAAATATACATGAATGTTCAATCAGGCAGAGTATATCATCCTGCTCCAGAAAAAGCAGGAGGAATTGGTCTGGTGAGATCAAAAATTGCTATTGAACTTAGTCCATTATTTAATTTTGAGAAAGGAGAGGAATATGGTCCAACTCATATCATTTGGGAAGATAGAAAATATACTTTAGATCATAAATGGTATAAGAATGAAGAACTACCACAAGCTGTCAGATAAAAATAAATAAACTTTATTTTTAATTCAAAAAGGAAACAAAGCACAATATATAAACAACTTTCATAAAATGTACATATATTTTCAATGATAAATAACAAAGATTTATAATTATCCTCTATTTAATAAATTTTGTTAAGGTAAAGATGAAATATCAAAGATTCTAGCTGTAGAATCATCAGATGTAGTCAGTGCTTTCTCTCCATTTCTAAAAATTGTTATGTATATTTTTATTGAAGAACTTCTATTAAAGAACAAATGAATATCTAAGTTTCTTCAACTTACTCAGATATATATAAGTCAAGAATATCTGCTGTGTGTCCAGTGAATAAACGTAGACATTGACCACTTTTTCCATCAAAACATCTCAGAATACCATCTAATCCTGCTGAAAACAGTATACTCGTATTTCCTTTCCATAAAAGTTTAGATATACCATTTTCTTGTTCTATCTTTTGTCTAAGCACCTAAATAATAAAATAAAACGATAATAATAATGATTAAAAGTTACTAATCTGAAATGCTAAAGTTACAATACCTGTTTTAAGATATCCCAAATGAAAATTTCTCCATTAATTGTACCAGTTACAGCAACTTGAAATGCAGGATCCTTACAAAAAGCTGCTGTTTCGACCCAATTGGTATAACAATTTCCCTCGCTATTTCCAGCATCTTGATCATTATTGACAACATTATTATGCTCACCATTATTAAGATTTTGCAGAATGGAAACTATCTAAAATTTTTAAATCATATTAATACGATTTATTCGAAGAAATTTTTATATTTATATTACCTTCCCTGTACTTGAGGTACTGATTATAGCTTTACCATCTACAGCTGCAGAAAGCAGTAGATTGTTATCCGAATGACAATCAATAGTAGTTATAGCAGAAGAATGACCTAATGCAGAAGATATGGATGACAGTACAGTACTTGTTTTTAAATCTAATACTCTAATAACTCCATCTTCATAACCCACTGCTATGCGCTTGCCTAAAATATCACATTCAATCTTTTATTTTAGTTTCTTTTATTGCAAGACAAAAAATGCAAAGAAGCAAATACCATCTGGAAATATTGCACCAGTCTCTGCCCGGCAACCATATCCCTGAAAAACTTTACAACTTCCATCAGGTATTTTCCACATGTATATTTCTCCATCGACAGATCCGGCTAATAAAACATTAGCAGCTGTATGCCACATCATCCACTGCAATAATGTAAATAATGTTTCAATTCATCTACATCCATGATAGCATTCAATTATGAAAAATGAACTAACAGTAGCATCTCCCATGTTGTAATCCCAAATCTTAGTTTTATCAACTAATCTCCAAACTTGTATCATTCCACTCATATCCCCAGTAGCCAAATATGATTCATCGTGATTAAATGCTGAAAAGATAATACTATCTTTATGACTTATACAGTCCAAAATGATTTCTCCTGATGATGTATCCCAAATGTAAGCTTTATCTTCTTCTCCACCCGTGGCAGCTAATTTTCCGTTTTTACTCAATGAACCACAAAAGATAGAACCTAAAATTTACATAGATTCATAATTAAGTTAACAATATATAAATATAATCATAATAATTGAAATGTTCTTTACCTCGTTTGTGACCATTGAAAACACAAATTGCATCTCCTTCTTCTGAAGGATCCTCTTCCATCACATCGTTCTCTTCAACATCTCCTGTATTATATGCATCTATAACTTCTTCTACATCTCCTATATATATCATATCCTCATCTACTTGATTAGTCATGTCTGGAGAAGACGGCGGGGTATCTTTGTGCATGATTTATCTTAAAAACTTAATAAAGCGTGCAACAGGTCACGCTTTAAAAAGATACAAATATATTTAACTAGAAATCACTTAGCGTAAATAATTTGAATAATAATGGTATTATCTCACACAAAAATGTGCGTCTAATAAAAATCTTTCAACTGGTCTAAGTAATAAAATCGGAATTTCTAGTCTGTCATTCGAAAAAATAGAAATTCAAATGCTCGTCAACAACAATCGGAGTTTGGAAGCACCAGCTGATTTGGAGATTGGAAACTACAGGAATCATAGGGAATTTTTCTCAAGTGTCATTGGCAATATTTATGATTATAGTCTTATGACAGTGGTGACATCTTCGAAAAAAAGGTAGTAAAAGATTACCACCTGAAGGAAAGTAGATTTTCTACAAAACAGACAAATTTTATTTAAACTTTTGAACTTTAAACTGTACAATTTACAGTTAAGACCATAAATTGTACTGAGTAATTACAATTTTAAGACCACAAATTTGTACTAAATAATTACAGTTTCTTGAATACTGAATAAACATGTACATTATACATATTTTATTGTTAATGATAATGAGACGACAATATTACGGTCGTAATCGGTTAACAAATAACTATATCAAATTCTCCGTCTCCTTTCTACCAGTAGATAGATCAGTTACATAATTTTGTGTATAGTTGTCACGTCAATCTGCACCTCTGTTTCATCATCCATCTCATCCGTTCGCTATTCGCTCTTCGCGCTATATTCTTCCTCTTTCTCTCTAATAGCGGTTGCTTATACCTTTCTGCCTCAAGATAGTGCTATCTCCTTCTACAAGTGTATACGCCCGACAACCGGCAGTCTCGGTCAAGTAACCGCAAAGTGTATACGTTGCAGTCGGACCTTCCAAATTCGTCAATGTCTGTCGTCAACTTAAATCGCAGAAATTCCAATGAAACTTTCACAAAGAACAAGTCAATCAGTTCGAAGATTTCTACACGTTCGAAGGTTGCAAGAATTAATCACCAAATTATCAGCTCATCGACGATCCCTCGAAGAGAGAATCGACCAAGTGAAGTCTCGATGAACATCCGGAAGATTAACTGACCATAAAGATAATTGACTGCAAATATTCAAGATTTACCGGATAAATTCTAAATAGTTGAGCAATGACCGAGGGACCGTTGGGAAAATACCGCGTGGAAGACGAAAAGAAGAACAGATATACAATGATTGGCCAGATGAATAGGATAATAATCTTGTAAAATCACCAAACGAAAGTGGGAGGACGTAAATTAGAATTTGGTTGTGGTGGGAGTGAGTTTCTTAACAACGAGCTTTAAAGTACACGCCAGTCATCGGGATAAAAGCACAGTGAAGCCACGTGTCACGTTTGTCAAATCAATTATTTCACGTTGTAACGTTCAGACGATGAAGGAGAAGAAAGAACGACGGATGTTCCTTTTATCTGCTCGTTTTCCTTCTGTGATAATATTTAACTGATAATATCTAATATAACACGAACGTGAAGGCTTCGAACGTCGAGATTGTTTCAAATGTAAATGCATGCCGAATCACACCTGAGATTGACCAGTTATTCACTCAAGGAATTATATAGCAAATCGAGATAAATGCATTTGCGCAGAAAGCAGAGAAAGTCAAGTACCGAGTGCGATTTCCTTTCGCAAGATTATTTTTAAATAGAATCGAAATATTTGCTGGCTTAGAATCGAAGCAGCAGGGTGTGCATATAAAATTCGGGGAGATATGGAGATATCTACATTTGAAGACAAAAGCAGGATTGATCGAATGATTTGAAGAAAGAACATTGGCTACGATTGTTCCGTACGCTTTTCAATTTCTCAAAATGGAAGCTAGAAGCAACAATCAGAATTCACTGTGGGTATTTGGATATGGATCATTGTGTTGGTACCCAGGTTTCAAGTATAAACGAAGCGCCGTGGGGCACATTAAGGGATTCAGCCGAAGATTTTGGCAAGGGAACATAACTCATCGTGGTACGATAGAAAAAGTAAGTGGCCCCGTAAGCCCCATTTCTTTTGTTTGAAGTTTAACGTTAATCGTTTCACATGGTAAAACAGTCGCAAATGTAAATGTTTAGAAATACATTGAGGAATGAAATAATTAAAGTATTAAAGTACTTTGCATTGTCTCGGAACACGCTGATCCAATATAATGTCGTTTCGAAACATTTTATTACGTGCGTACAAAATAATAATACAAACAGATGTGTAAATATTCACGTCGATCTGCTCAAATCCGTTTGACTTTGAATAGAATTCAACGATGTATCGAATTTTTTTTTTTTTTATACAATCTTCGTCTCTGTTCTATTTATATCTTTAATTTTCTTGTTCACGCCATCCGCCACGTGTATTCTTTCACAAAACTTTGGCAGCCTTCCACGGTAGAGATGCGTTTCGACAATTAGAAATACATGCTTCCAATTCGAACACTGACGCGTTCTTATCTTTCCCGTTTTCCAAGAGAAAATTTATCTCGCTGTTTCGATGATCTCTAAACAGTTCCAAGAAGAGTAAGAAATATTTAATAAAGGGTAATTCTCTTAAATATCCGGTACAGCATGAAATTTGCGGAGGAACGTACGCCCCAGTAAGTACTTACGGATGTTTCCATTAAGACTAATGAAAATCGGATACAGTTTCACCTGACTAGCTTGCCGCTCCAATTTCTCTAATTCAATGCAACAATACAATCCGACAAATATAAAATATTCCCTTCGTTACACATTCGAGTATTTTGACTATAATTTTCGGCCATTTTTACAGTCCATTGCATTTATTTTTTTTAGCATCATACGGACAAGATTTTACCAAACAAGAATTTCTCTTGATCTCGTGTTGCAGTTGCCTGTCAATTAATGCGAAACCAGTTACAACTCACAGAAACTGATATCTTTCGTGAGCACGTAATTTTCTTCTTTGTATTCGCGTCGTGCACGTATTTACGTCATACCATCGCATGATAAAAAGACTCTACTACTTTATCTTCTTCCGCAATCGATGTTATACGTAAGCTGTTTGTTTAATCATCTGTTGCTCTGTTTTTGTTGCAGCCTGGACGAGTGGTGACGTTGGTCGAAGAAAAAGAGGTGATTACGCTTTAATTTAATCAGAATCACTTTTTTTTTTGTTATTTAACGTCACACGTGCAACTTCGTTAATTGGTACATTACAGTACTTTCATTTTGTAATAGGCGCATTTTCTTTGTCAACAGGGTGTTGTTTATGGACGAGCATTCCAAGTTCAAGACAGCGCAGCGTTGCCTTACTTGGAAAGTCGCGAATGTACTTTGGGAGGATATGTGACGACAATTACTACGTTTCATAGTCGCGAAGGGAACAAAAGTATTCCAGTCATTACTTACATAGCTACCAATAAAAATGAACATTGGCTCGGTGAAGCACCGCTTCATGCTATCGCTAAGCAAATTTCCGAATGTTCTGGCCCAAATGGACACAACGTCGAATATCTTTTACGGTTCGTTCTAGCATAAATAATAGCGTCATTCGGTTATATTTTTAAATTGTTAGGTTATATTTTCATTCGGTTATATTTTTAAATTGTTAGGTTATATTTTCCTTTACATTGTGTTCCATATGTCACGAACAGATTAGCAGAGTTTATGCATCGTTATCTACCAGAAGCTCATGATGAACATTTGTTCAAGCTGGAAGTATTAGTACGTTCGAGAATAAAGGAAATGAATATGTGCCTGGATACGCTAATGGGCGACCGAGACTTCAATATCGACCTCGAAGACATCGATGGCAAGGATGAGGATAACGTGGTTACCAATAACGCCACTAAAAATCTTAGGAAAAATTCCTTCCAATTCACTCTTCAAGTACCTGATAAGACTATGCGTTGCCTGAAAATGTAATTCGCATTTTTCACATTAATATTTATCGAATGCCTGGACTTTTACGATCGTACGAGATTGCCAAAAAGCAAGGATTTATGTAATTAACAATAATAATGTAGATAATATTTTTTATAGATATTTATGTAAACGTTCGTTTCGAGAACAATGTACATATTGAGTAGCTACATATTGTTCTCTGATAGGATAATTTTGATACGAACGTACTTTAGTAAGCATAACGAAAATCGTATTTTGATAATTTAGTATTTTAAAATATATTTGCACATTTCAATATTCGCACATTCGTATTTTCATTTTTGAATGTGCCGGACATTTAAAATTATATTCTTTTAAAGAAAATTGTGCCTTAATTTGGGGAAAATACAAATATGGTGCATTTTCTATTCATAAATTTTAAGTTAAGATGAAAAATTTTGTATCTGAACCTGCAAAATATTGATTTATAAAAAAGACAATGATTAAATATCGGCATGTTTGTTTTTCTAAATCCTATATGTAGTTTTATCTATTTCTGAATCTCAAACATTCCTTCTATTTGAAAAACAGAAATTTGCTACGCCATCTAAAAAGAGATGAAATTAGAGCTTAGTCTAAAATAGTGATACCATCCGATATACCATCTGAAAATATAAAGAAAAACCAACAGATGATATATAGTAATCTACAATTATGCATCGTTGATAATTGCATAAGTTATTTTAACAACTTTTGATAATAATCGTCAGTTTCTATGTACATTGATTAATTATAAGTATGTCTGTGATCATTCAATGCTTTTTTGTGTTCCAAGTCATGTACTCGTTTGTGCCCATATTTTGGGAGTCATCTGACTCTTGTACCATTTTCGTGTCACATTCTACCATACCGATTTAAATAGGTTTTGCACTGCAGCGCCACTAGTAATAAAAATTAAAATCAGAAAATATGAATAATGTTACATCTGTATCGAAAATTATTGAATTAAATGTGAACGTTTTTTTTGCATAGACGACCAATTTAATTTTTGACTGTAACATAATTATTTTCTGCATAAATTAGTATTATATGTCACAGATTTATAAATTAGCATTTAGTATATGTCAACACTTAAATTATAAGTTAAAAAAACTAACTGTGCAAATGTAGTTTTACTTTATAAAAAGTATAGAAATTACAGTATTTATTGTTGCCTCAAATTAATGGGGACTATAAAACAATAAAAATATAAAATTGTAAAATTTTAACTAAATAAAAAAACCTAAAAATTGTAAAATTATCGATTACTGTAATACAAAAAGCGTTTTTGAAAGTACTGATAAAGTCACCTATTGTGCAGCACTGATTTTGTCTTGAAGGTTGAGTTATTGTGAAGATTGAGCAGGGAAAAAGGTATACATCGTCTGTGCTTTAGTCAATGCTAACTATAGTTATTGGAGAAATTAAAAATTTTTTAATTACAGACTTTTATCTGCAGCTGCATGATAAAAATTTTACATGCGTAATATTTTATTTTTTAAATAACGATAAATATGAATTGAAAATGAGAAATACTACCTTTACAATTATATCACGTTCTCGAAATTCTAATATTTTAATTAGTTTCCAATGATCTGCATTGCTGCAAAAATGACATGCCACATTTATGTGCAATATTTTAAAAGATTAATGTATACACAAATGTGCAACAGAAATTAATGTACTCCTGATATGGAACGTTGGTTGAACTTTCAATTGCCATTATTTCATGTAATAACTTTACTTTTAGACAATTTGAAATAATTTCCATACAATCTAGAAAATACCTTGTGTTACGTTTCAGCTCCAATTCTACATGTGATTCAATCGAACAATATGTAGTGCATTCACCTTCTACGCAATTCTCTTCCAAAATGTTCTCCTACATCGTCTTCTCTACAGATACACACATAGTAGTTTGCAATGAATAAAATTTACTTGTGAAAGCATAAGCTAAATGGAACATCTGCACGCGTTACCGACACATGATTTTCATAATTTTCGGTAGAAATACAAGGAAAAGGGAGCATGGAATTCCTGGTTACGCCGTGACGACGTGGTGAGCCTCGAAGATCTTCGTTATTATTTCAGCGAAACGAAGCGTGCATGAGTGCACGCTCGAGTTGGCTCCTGTACGAGTTGTTAACTTCCTCGTGCGGATTCTGACCAATTTATTACACAGAGAATTCGTCGTTTCTTTTTCGAAATAAGTAGCCCGAAAATCGCTCGAGGCTCTTACAAATAATTAATCTAATCAAGAACACCGAACTATAATAACTAATAACGTTACGTCTCATCAATTTGAAACATCTAGACACATCTGAATAAATATATATACTCACTTCTACTAGTAAATATCTAGAAAATAGTCTCTATTTTAAGAAATTCGCGTTAATATCCATAAAATGGGATGATCCAAGTTATAAAATGAACCGAACGTAAAATTTCTTGGAAAGTTTCGTTGCGATTATGTTCTGCAATTAACGAAGCGACGATTGCGTGAAAGAAATCAATGAAAAGAAGGACAGTAACGATTATAATGTGAAAGACGTAACGTTGTAAATGAATAAACGTAATAGACGTATAAACGTCTGTTAAGCAGGAGTTTTTACGTACCGAGTTTACGATTTAACGAGAACCACTTGAAATTCTAGAGCCATCGCGAGTGCTCTGCACGATATACGACGATAGTTTTACGCGGTTCCCGGTTTCGTTCGGACAATCCGACAGGGAACGTAGGGAGGAAGACTCGGAGGAGCTCCTTACGGAACGTACGTAAACGAACGTTCGTCACGCATCGTGACGATAAAGCCAGCCAGGTATCTCAGGGATAACGTTACTCCTGGCTACGTGTATGCTGTCCTGTAATTCCATTGATGTACTTCGTGGACAATTTAAAAAGTCTTCTCGTCAGGTTTTCTATCCAACAGAAAGTTCATCAGTGATTTTGAAGAATCTGCAAATTTAATTGTGAATTCATAACGAGTATAAAAGATTCTCATTGAAGCTATTGTCTGCGTGTATTCAAAGACTATTTCATTCTAATATGTACAGAGTACAGTCTGGTTATTTTGTCGAAAAGAAGCTGCCGCAAGTTTTTTTGCATGTTACTTGAACAGACACGAAAGGAGTCTGGCCACGTCGAAAATATATTTCCGTTCGCAGGTGGTTTCTATAAGCTTGCTTTCGTGCGGACAAGTCGAATACGGTTATATTGTTCGTCACGGTTATTAAACGCGTATTTCTTTTCTTTCCTATCGTGCACGACATATATTCGGAGCGTGCATCAATCTGAACCACCCACGAGGAATTTCCATACGATACTATCCGCATGAACTTACTATATAAAACTGTACTGCATTTCAGTCTCGAACGATAAAGTGCGCAAGATTAGAAAGTTACTGTTTCTTCAGTAATAACAAAATATACCAAATATGTCATATATCGATCATTTTTATGCAGTATTAAACTGAACAATAATACCGTTTCCTTGGTTTCTCATGGTCAATGGATTTTCGCAACAATGAAATAGACGCCAGTACGTTTTCCCGCGTTTTTCTGAAAAGTGGTTGATATTAAAAAGAAGGAGACGAGGAAAAAACTGACGAGGCCGTCGGTTTAAAAGGCGTAAAACACGACACATTTTATCATCGGTGTGGCGATTTCCGTCACGTTATTGTGTCAAGTACTCGTGACTAAAAAGTTATTATCGCGACGTAATTCCTTCCTCCAAACAATACAAACTACGATCTGCGACGCGAGTTAACGCTGTGTAGTGAAATTGTAAATTGTTCTTGCGAAATATTCCTCGATAAAACAAACGATTTTCGCAAGTTTAAAAGCCGCTTGATGTAAAATTATAAAATCACAAGGAATTCTGTGCATTTTATAACTTGCCTGAAAAATACTAAAATATTATCAGTTGATAGTAATAATTCCTCAAAGTATCTTAATGCTGTTCTTCTCGAAATCTTTAGTTTGCCATAAGAAACCTTTGTCTCCTAAGGGTCGAGTTAAAGATGTTTCCTCCAAAGAAGTAAGAAGTACATCTTCAATTAATCAAACTGAAAGACTGCTGCAAAGAATGAAAAATCTCACCGGTAAGTGAAAGTTTGTCGACTGCTGTTTCACGGCGGGACGATTTAAAACGCCACGGACCATGCTACACATCGATTATCCATAAGTAATTAAATTATGATCGTTACGTAATGCACGAAAGAGTGAAACTACAAATCAATTATTCATCGTATTGTGGAGTAAGAGCGAGTGGTTTTTACCGAACGTGAGACCGGTGGCTGGCAATAAAGCGGTAGCCAGCCTCCTTTTCAGGTCCGCTCGTTTTATCAAGTAAAATCCTTTCTCTTCTGACACAGCGAGTGGTCTCGCGTTAGCTTGCGCATCCTCTTACTTACACGCGAATCCATGCGTCTGCGAACATTATCTTCAATTACACAAACGTACGTATCTCTATGTTCTTTTCAACGGCCACTGAAATCAGAATACGGCCAAGGCTGCGTCATGGCACCCGATTGACAATGCACGATTTCTAAAGCGATGTGAAAACTTGATCAGAACGATCACCTCGACACGCAAGAACACCTCGTATCTCCTCTTATTGTTCCACTCATGTATTCATTTTTCTCTTATTTTTGATAGTCAAGAACAATCGTGGGTGAAGGTTCACTGCAGTAAGGGCGAACATTCGAGTGCAAAAGCTGTGAAAAGACCAAAAGTCGTAAATTGTTGTTACACCATATCCTGATAAGCTTCAAGGCTTAACATTGTGTCGCAGATGTTTAATAGCCTTATCAGTCATATTCTTCCGTGAGAAGCGTCAGTATATCTCGGAATAATGACATTACACTGTACTTACGATGCATAATTTGCGCGCAATAAACGCAGATCAAAATCATACGGTGCGTTGAACGCGGTGCCGTGATATTTCGTCCATTACTCTGCCTCCTCTGTTTGTTTCTCCATCTAGAAGAAACTTTCACCGCGTACGTTTCCTCGTTTTCAGTTATGTCGCGTGTCTCCACCTTTTTAGAAAACATTATCATCAAGGAAGCACGATGTCAGCCGAAGCTAAAACAAACGGGAGAGATGAAATCGAAAGTATACACCAAGCTTCCAAATATTTCTGTTCATTCGTGAGACCAACGAAGAAGGGTATCGCCGTAGCAAGGATAATTGCAAGTAAACGCGCTGGAAATGAAGACTTAATTAAAGGGGG